GCCAGGCTGCTCTCAGATCACCCCAGACTCATGAGATGTTTCCCATCACAATAAAAAGATGGGCTGTCTGCAGTCTCCTGCTGACTCTGGCATCTTGCCTCGGTGAGTTCAAGGATAAAGGATGAAAGAAGGGTCTGTATTTGATTTTATCACATGTACTGACTTAAGTTTTGGGAGGCTTAAAATACCCTGGTGTGATGGCTAGAGATGTAGTTAGGGGGATCTGATACCTCTGACCTCCAGCCTCCAGGGCACGTGGGCGTGCACATGTGCAGGAGCCCCCCCCCCCCACACACACGATTAAACATCCTGGTGTATTTAACAGTCACTAATGTTCAATAGTGCTCTCTTTATTTTTCTGGTGGTCTCCCCAAGTCACCCCCCCTTTGTTTTTATCTTCTCCCACACTCTGACAGAGACAGCATATGGGCACAATGATACTGTCCTTGTGCAAGACTAATGTAAACTTAGTGTGTTGCCGAAGGGATGCGCTGTGAGTTTATCTTACTTTATGCCCTACTCTTTTTATTTCCAATTCCTTCTGTATTTCCCGGTTCCAGCAGGATATTTTGGTAGCCTCTCCCATCCAACAGGAAGCACCTGAGAAGCCATGAGAAAAATGTCCTGTGCTAAAACCAAGACCTGAGGGACAGGAGAGATGGCGCACACACACACACACACACACACACACACACACACTTAAAAATAAAATCTCTCTCCTTTTTTTGTTTATTTTTGTTTCTTGAGACGGGGTTTCTCTGTGTAGCCCTGGCTGCCCTGGAACTCATTCTGTAGACCAGACTGGCCTCAAACTCAGAGATCTACCTGCCTCTGCCTCCCCAGTGCTAGGATTAAGGACATGTGCCACCACCTCTCTGCAATAAATTCTTTTTTGAACAAACAAAAGTAGCTCAAGACAGTTTGGAAAGGTGACCCACTCTCAGAGACTTCACCAAACTAACCTTCCAATCTTCCTGAGATTGCACGGTGGGCCCTGGGGAAGCCCTATGCGGAGCCACCGCTACAGACCAACAGGTAGGTTTGCTGAGCACGGTCCTCTGAGCTTTCTCGTGAGCTCCCTATAGCAGCCCACAGAGGAATGGGGGCATGCCAGCATCCACTCCCTCTGCAGAGCAGGCTGGAGCTTTAACTATGCCAAGGAGGAGGCCATGTGGCACACTAGTCCCCATCAAGGAGGAGGTCGTGTGGCACACTAGCCTCCATCAAGCCTGCCACAGCTGCGACTACATTCTGTCAGCGCCATACAGAAAGTGAACCTGGAAGGAAGCAGGAGCTTCTCCAGCCCCTGCCCTGTGCTGGCTGCCATGACTTACAGTAGGGTTCCTCTGCCCCTCACTTCCCTGACTTACACAGACTGTAAACCTTAAGCAGACTTCAATTTCTTCAATAATACAGTGAAATAACCCTGCCTCGATGCCTCCTTGAGCTTGAATGCAGCTCAAGCCCTTGGGGAGAGGTACCCAACAGAATGTGTGTAGGTTGGGAGTCCAGTCCTACACGGCAGCAATACTCAAACAGGGCATTTCCTGTGTTCTCTCCTGCAAGAGGAAGATTTCTGTTTTGAATCCAAGTTTTTAATAATCGTAAAAAAGTAAGTTTACTTATGACATTTCCAAGCATGTAATTCTTCATATGTATGTGCATGTGCGTGTATACATATCAAGACCCATATGTGGGTATACACACGTTCATGTGCATATTATGTGAGAGTGCATTCATGTCAAGATCCAAGATTAGCATCAGGAATTACCCTCAGGGGCTCTTCTGCCTTATCCATTGATGAAAGGACTCTCAGTGCCTCTTCCTGCTATATGGGGACCTAAACTCTGGTCCTTGTGCGTGGGTGGCAAGCATTTTAACCAGTGAGCCTCTTCTCCACGCCTCCTGCATGCCCTAATGCACACCTTTCTCGTACCCCCCATTACCCTCCCATGCCCCTCCCCAGTCCCAAGGCTCTCTTTAGCGCCTCACATACTCCCTTCTTCCTATTCTACTCCCATGCCCCATTGCCCTCTCTTCCGGGACTGTGGCTCTTGTCTATCTGATGCCTGTCAGGCACGCAACGAAGCTAAATGGACTCTATTCCTGAACCGCAAGTCAGCCACCTTACAGTGAGCAGCAAACGCGGCTTGGGTAAGCCTAGCTCAACGGCATTGGACAAGCATATTAGCATATGTGATGCGCTCAGCATGCACCACGTTAGTGGGTGTGTTCCAGACACTGCTCTAAGAAATCAGAAGTATTGATCACTTGAGCCAGATATGGAACTTAAATGCTCATCAGGAGTCACCGAGTTCACGAGAGGGAGCAGTAGGGGTAGGACTCAGTCACTGGCCCTTGGGGTCCTGAGCTTTGTTCCAGCCACCGTGAATCAGCAAATGAAAACTCCAGCTTGCATAACCGTGCTTATCTCTCCGGACCTTGATACACCTAGCAAGCTGGTCTGGATGGCATCTGGAAGGCCCTGTTAGACACTAAACGCTTCCATTGTCCTTGACCATAATGTGATCCCCCCACCTGGAGCGGGGAGCTTGCGTCACTGAGATTTTCCACATTAAGAGAAAAGAATGGCTGTTTTGGGAGCCCGAGTTGGCTTCGTTTAGACCACAGAACAGGGAAGTAGAGGTCTCCAAAACCAACAGCACAGGCGAGGGCCCTCTCACTGCGGCCCGCCCCCCCCCCAGCAGCCCAGTCTTCCAGAGAGATCTGAGCATCGCCTGCCCTCTCTTCTTACAGGTCCGAGGACACAGCACCATTGTCCAGTCCTCACTTTCCTAAGCAGCTGCCCTCCGTCCCGGGACTCCTGCACCAGCCCCGCCCCTTAATGCTTTCTTTGCCAAAGTACAAATTAGAATGTGTGTCAGTCCTAAAGGAAGAGAGTCAGGTGGTGGGAGCAAAACCATCTTGCTAATATCTTCCCTGGCTCCATCTGATCACCGTGGAGTCGAGAACTAATCAAAGTGGAGGACTCCGAGTTCCCGGCCTGACCCCTGCCTCCGTTAGCTACCTCTGCATAACAACTGTGATTCCTCACAAACGCTGACTTCTCACTCGTGGAGCTACACATGAGCTAGAGCTCAGCTGACATGGTGGCCTCTGACTGCAAACTGAGTTTGGGGTCCGTTCCATGCGTTTGGTTTTTAGGACCAGTGAGCTGTGCGGCATACAGGAAGTGCTGAGATGGATGAGTGGGCACCTAATGTCCAGGGCATGGTGCTCATGTGCCCCACCTTGGACTGGAGACATGATTTTGATTTTCACTTAGTTTTTATTAGTTTGTTCGTTCGTTCAGTTGAGACAGGGATCATGTGCCCTGGCTGGCCTGGAGGATAAAACTCCTAGGACTTCAGGCGCGCTAGGCAATCAATCCATCTACCAGCTGAGCTTTGCCCCTGGCGACATCGCCACCGTCTGTAAGACGGCTGTTGTCTTTCATTAGGGCAATACGGAGGCAAACAGAGTTCCGTCTTCCCAGCTGACCTGACCCAGCCAGAGCCAGCCAGAAGCTGAGGGCAGAGAAGGAAGACAGCTTTGAACACGGTCCATCCTCAGGCCAGAAGAGGCCAATGCCCCGTGCCATGTCCCTGCTGGCCTTTCTGTGGAGAGCAGCTCAAAGAACACCCTGCTTGGGCTGTCTGAGTTCCAAATAGTGCCCTGGGGTCCCCCTCATGGGACAAAAGTGATTTACAATGTCCAGACAGTGTCAGGACTCTCTTGATGGCCACAAGTGCAAAACCCAAGAGAGCCCAGAGAAGCACGAGGCAGTGCGGACCCAGGACAGCGAGAACACTAACAGAAACCAAAGGGCCTTGCACTTAGAGAGGCAGCTGGCTCGGCTCACCAGATCCGGGCTAGGAAAGGAGGTGCGAGCCACCAGGACACATCTAGGAGGCGTGTGAGCCACCAGGACACATCTAGAGCTCAGGCTCAACTGGTGACCAATGACTAAGCTTTGCATGAGCATTTGCAGTTCTTTTTTTTTGGTTTTTTTTTTTGGTTTTTCGAGACAGGGTTTCTCTGTGTAGCTTTGGAGGCTGTCCTAGAACTATCTCTGTAGACCAGGCTGGCTTCGAACTCACAGAGATCCGCTTGCCTCTGTCTCCCAAGTGCTGGGATTAAAGGCGTGTGCCACCAACGCCCGGCAAGCATTTGCAGTTCTAAGCAGGGCACCGCAGAAGACCCCAACCACCCCCCGTGCTCTCACATCCTGTGCAGCTCTGGTCTCAGAACAGCAGATGGAATGGACCCGAACGGAACCTGCATGCAGAGCCCACTGAGTTCTGCTGACCCCAGCCCACGTGGCGTTGCGCAAGTGAAAAAACCACCCACGTTTAAGCATTGTTGGGAATGAAAAATGTGTTGTTACACAGCGATAACTGACTGGCACCGAGTGTTTCTCAGACCCAACGGCTGTGCCTCTGCCCAGTCCCAGGACACTCGGCGACAGTCAGAAGTAGGGTGTCATGAGGTGACTGAGTAAGCGGGACTGGGTGGTCAACTCCTGCCACACTGTTGCTTTGTGGGTACTGAATCGTCTTTCTCCAGCCCAGACCATTCAGGACTTGTGTGGAAGTCCAGTGACCGTCCTGGCTGTGGACCGACTTTTGACATTTCTGGTAAGGAAACTCAGGCCCCAAAAAGCACAGTAAGTTCCCCAAGACCCTACGATGACCGTCAGAGCCCAGGGGAAGCACTGGATCGCTTGGCTAAAGCTTGTCCCTGGGATTTCGTAAAGAGCTCCATGGGCTGCGTGGCAGGAACAGGCAGGGCTAGAATGGGGCCTGGACCACTGTCCCCTTTGTAGTTGCCTCTTCCCTGGACATGACTTTGATGCCAGAATCAGTCTGGAGACAAAGAGCCCTGCTCTCAGGTGTGGAGAGCCGGGGAAAGGCTAAGGGGGTGGTGTGGAGGGAGAGGGCCGGGGGCTGTTGAGGTTACCCAGTTAAGGGGGCACCGGGGAGAACTGACCCCCCACTTACCTTCGTAACAGGGGATCAGCACCTTGCCTTTGGCCTGGAGGTTGGACGGGATGAGGTAGCAGAATCCATGGGGCAGGATGTGGTCAGTTTCATAGTAGATGTTCTTCCAGCGATGGGCACAGGCCTACAGGGACAGAGAGAGAGTAAGAAGAGAACGTTCACACCAAGGCATCAGGAAAAGAGAATGAAGGAGATCCAGCTCCCGGGAGGCCACTGGGAGGTGAGGGACAGTAAGTCCAAGATGATGATGATGATGAGGAGGAGGAGGAGGAGGAGGAGGAGGACGACTTTCGTAGCTGGAAGTGAGCATCGGGATGGAAGGAAAGAAGCCAGTGGAGTCTGGGAGTGGGAGAAGTGAGGTTTCTAGGCAGAGGGCAGAGAGCGGTACAGCGCCCTCCACACTGAGCACAAGAGGAAGACCTTTCCAGAAACAGGAGCATTGGGATAGGTTGGGAGGTTCCGGGGGAAGAAAGGTGAGGAGGGAGGGTCTAAAGAGGAGGTGAGAGGGAGCCAGGCCCCAGAGGTGACTGGGAGGATGGATTTTATGGACAGTGTCTGCTGAGTTCAGTGGATGCAGCTTCTGCGGGTGCCCGGTGTGACCCAGATCACAGTTTGGAACTTTCCCTCAACTGCCGCAGGCACGGAGACTGCAGATAGACGGACAGTAGCCCTGGGAGAGATACTGATGGCCTGGGCTGGAAAAGAAAGAAGGGGTGAAGAGAGCTAACCGAAGAGAAGAGGACAAGATGATGAGACACTTTGATTTTTACCTGCAGAGACACTCAGCATGCACTTCCTTAACTGGAAGCAGATGTTTGCTGCTGGTCTGTCTGTTTGTTTGTTTGTTGTTGTTGTTGTTTTGTTTTGTGTTTTTTTTTAACTCTTCACTCTTTTGCTCTTTGGAAGCCCACAACCCAATTCCCAAATAAATTACATGGAGTCTTTTCTTTCTTATGAATGCCTGGCCTTAGCGAGGCTTATTTCTGGCCAGCTTTTCTTAACTTAAATTACCCCGTCTACCTTTTGCCTCTGGGCTTTCGTCTTTATCCTAGATACCTTTCTTTACTTCTTCCTCTGTGGCTGGGTGGCCGGCTGCCTGCCAGCCCCGCCTTCCCTTTCCCCTGGCTAGCTATTGGCCGTTCAGCCCTTTACTAGACCCATCAAGTGTTTCAGTCAGGCAATGGAACAGTTTCACAGAGTTAAACAAACGCAGCAGGAAAGAATGCAGCACATCTTTGCATCACTAAACAAATGTTCCACCGCATAGACAAATGTAATTAAACGTCTTAAATTAATACTTCATAAAGCTGGTCCATCTACTGAAGAGATTTAGTGCCCAGCAACACACATCTCAAAGGAACCCTTAAGAGCTTTGGTGAGTGCACACCACTGTGTCCCCAGACCCTTAGTAAAGATGGCTCCCCAGTGCCAGGGGGTGGATGCTTTCACAGACTGGTCCGAGGGAGCGCTGTGGGGTGAAGACCTAAGACAAGAAGGGAGTGGCAGTGGGGAGCAGAGGGGAGATTCGGGGTGGAGGGTAGATGAACAGGAGTGTGTATGAATAAGGAGAACCTTAGGGATAGGTGGCCCTCAGCCAGCTTCTGAGGAGACACTGAGGCTGACCAGTTTCTATTAAGAGAACAGAGCCACCAGCCAGAGCAGAGACCTGGCTCATCCCACCCTGCAGAACGTGCTCCCGGCTTTGTGCTGAGATGTGATCTCTGGTCCCTGTGTGGCAAGAGATTCTCCATGGGAAAGGGGGAATTCACAGCCCAGCCGGCTCCTTCTTCCTGGTGAGAACCACTTACACTGGTATCGGCTCACCTTGTTCTGGACAATGGATATATTTTCTTAAAATAATGAACTTTAAAATAATCAGAGATTCTAGTGTCTTGTGGTGTGTGTGTGTGTGTGTGTGTGTGTGTGTGTGTGTGTGTGTGTGTGTGTGTGTGTACAAACCAGACCTCAACCTCAAGTTTCATTCCTCTAGACATCTTCTATCTAGTTTTTTTGGGACAGTGACTTCATTTTCATCTGGAACTCACCAGTTCAGCCTGGGCACTGGCTGGCCACCAAATCCCAGGGAATCCGCCTGACTCAACCTCCTCAGTGCTGTGATTACAGCCATTTCTACCAGGCCGGCTTTTTATAAGGCTGCTGAGGGTTGCACTCAGATCCCTGGGCTAACCCGGCAGGCACTTCATGGTCTGAGCGGCCTCCCCAGGCAGTGTGCTTCCTTTATACACTGGTTCAGCGAGTCTGGTCAGCCTTTGCCGTCTGCCATCCCAGGAGGAGATGACAGAACCCTCACTTTAATTTGATTTTTGTGGTGGTTTGAATGAGAATGGCCACAAAAGACTCACATATTTGAATGCTTAGTCACTAGGGAGTGGAACTGCTTGAGAAGGATTGGAAGGATCAGAAGGTGTGGCCTTGTTGGAGGAAGTGTGTCACTGGGGGAAGGCTTTGAGGTTTCAAAAGCCCATACCAAGCCAGAGTCTGTCTGTCTGTCTGTCTGTCTGTCTGTAGCTCTCAGCTGCCGCTCCAGCACCTGCCTGCGGCCATGCTTTCCTCCATGACTAAACCTCTGAAACTGTAAGCAAGCCCCAACTAAATGCTTGTTGTAAATAAGAGTTGACTTGGTCATGGTGTTTCTTCCCAGTCATAGAACAGTGACTAAGATGATTTCTTAAATTCTTAGAACCATGTTGCTATCCTGTGAGAACGATGGTGAGTCAGGGCTTTGCCGTGTGTGGAGGTCAGAGGACAACTTCCTGTAGCCGGTTGTCTCCTCCTATCTTTATGTGGCTCCAGGGATGGAACTCAGGTGGCCAGGTTGGCATGGCAAGCACGTTCACCCACGGAAACAGCTCACTGGTCCAGAACTCTCGTTTCCTTTATGGGAGCGCTGAGCAGCAGACTGGTTGAGTAACACAATGAGAGCCCAGGACAGGACTGGAGCGCGTGGTCCCAGAGTCTCATTTCCCTATAACACCTTTTCCACCCTATGATTCCTGGTTCCTGCCTGAGACACAGGGACATCGGATGTTCTTGTAGCCCTTCCCATGAGGCCCTAGCTCCTAGCTGGAATCAGACACCCAAAGCCTCCCGGTGCTGGCTCTTCCCGACTCATGGCATGCCGAGGCCACTGCCGTCTCTGCTCTTCCTCCCTCCAACCAAGCTGCCCCCAGGGCCCTGACAGACAAGCCACTCTTTCCTTGTGACACACCCAGTATGGCACTGGAGATCTGAGCATGCCCACACGACGGAACAATGGGCTGTTACTCCTACTTCACACTGCCGTCTTTCCTGCCCGTGGGATACCTGCCTCATGCAAAAAACAAACAAGCAAAACAAAAACCAAAAGGCCCCACACATTTCTCATTTCTCAGAAGATGATGGAAACAGCATGCAGTGAGAAACAGGAACGATCATGAGGATAATTACCCCACACTTCCACATAGAGACATCCCTGCGTGTGTGTGTGTGTGTGTGTGAGAGAGAGAGAGAGAGAGAGAGAGAGAGAGAGAGAGAGAGAGAGGGAGAGAGAGAGAGAGAGAGCACGTGTGCATGTACTCACATGCATCTACAGTCATGCATGGTCATATAGTTTTTGACATGGGTGATGGGGATTAGAACTCGGGTCCTGTCGCTTTTAGAGCAGGGTATCCTTATTTATCTCTCCAGGCTCCACATACTTTGAATCATCTTTACACTTTTAATAATAGTACAAACTGCAGGAATTGTTATATGTCTACACTTACAATAACAGCACAAACACTGCAGTAATTGTTATCTAACTCTGTTTAGGGAATAATGACAATGGGAAGGTCTGCCCATGCTTAGGATATAGACAGATTAAAAAATTAGTTTTGATTACCATTAGTTAAATCCAAAGATACCAAATCCACAGCCCATAGGCAGGAAGGGCTGGATCCACAGACACAGACTCGTGGATATGAAGGACTGACTGGATGATTTTTGGGCGGGGGTAGGGGTGGGGGAGGGGGGAGGAGACATGGGGGGGAAGGGGAACATGGGGGGGTTACTCCTACTTAGTTCTTACAGTTTCCACACTTGCATTGCTGAGATCACCCCATTCATGGGCAGACAGCTTTACTCTAGTTGAAGGACTCAGTTCGCAGTTTGAGAACCTTTGCTACCTAATGCATTCCGAGTCAGAGGGGCCAAAGTTTATCGTGGTATGGTCCAGCAACCAGCTGTTCACACAGATGGCATCCCTCAATGTTTGCTGTCTTGTGTACTCTCCATCCCATAAACTGTTTAAGAGTGACCAAGGAGAATCCTTAGGAGTCCCAAATATTGCATTTTACACTCATCTAATTTATAATATTCTGGGAGGACAGAGACCAACGGTCTAAGACTAGCCCTACTCCAGAAAACAGAAAGGGACTCTGAACATAAATTATAAGAATAAAACACTGTACTTAGCCTAATTATCATCACACTCAAGTATCAGTCTGGCCTGCATCCTGTATAAAAACAGCAGGATTCCATGTAGCCGCAAAGCAGCATGACTTGATCAGCTTGGGGCGTGTGTTGCAGGCAACGGAAGAGAGCAGTGAAGACCAGAAGAACAGAGAATTCCCAGGAAGCTTGCTCTGGGCTGTGGGAGTAGCTCAGAGGTGCAGTGTGTAATCAGAGGTGTGAACAAGGTACAGTGTATGATTAGGAGTGTGGACAGGGTACAGTGTGTGATTAGGAGTGTGGACAAGGTACAGTGTGTGATTAGGAGTGTGGACAAGGTACAGTGTGTGATTAGGAGTGTGAACATGGTGCAGTGTGTGATTAGGAGTGTGAGCAGGGTACAGTGTGTGATTGGAGTATGGACAGAGTGCAGTGTGTGATAAGGAGTGTGCACAGGGTACAGTGTGTGATTAGGAGTGTGAACAGGGTGCAGTGTATGATTAGGAGTGTGCACAGGGTACAGTGTGTGATTAGGAGTGTGCACAGGGTACAGTATGTGATTAGGAGTGTGAACAAGATGCAGTGTGTGATTAGGAGTGTGAACAGGGTACAGTGTGTGATTAGGAGTGTGAACAGGGTACAGTGTGTGATTAGGAGTGTGGACAGGGTACAGTGTATGACTAGGAGTGTGCACAGGGTACAGTGTGTGATTAGGAGTGTGAACAAGATGCAGTGTGTGATTAGGAGTGTGCACACGGTACAGTGTGTGATTAGGAGTGTGCACAGGGTACAGTGTGTGATTAGGAGTGTGCACAGGGGTGCAGTGTGTGATTAGGAGTGTGAACAGGGTACAGTGTGTGATTAGGAGTGTGAACAAGATGCAGTGTGTGATTAGGAGTGTGAACAAAGCCTGGGTTTGAGAAGGAAGAAAAAGAGGAAGAGGGGAAGGGAGAAAAGAAACAGCGTGGGGAGGAAGAAAGGGAGGAAGAAGAGGATGAAAAGAAGAAAGGAAGAGAAGAGAAAAGGAAGAGGAGGAGAGGGAGGAGGGGAAGAAAGAGGATGGGCGAGGGGGGAAGAGAGGGAGCAGGGGGAGTGCAGTAGAGAAGGGGAAGGGGAGGAGGAGAAGAAAGAGGCGAGGTCCAGGAGGCAACAACCTGTCTAAAGTCAGCATCCAAATCTCCCCAGGAAAGAGCTGAGGACCTACCATCACCCCAAACCTTGGCCTCTCACACATCTCAACTTAGAAGGGTTGATTTTCTTCCCAAGGAATAAAAAGAGGAAGAAAATGTCCTGTTCCCTTTAAAGGCCTTCTTTGTTGTGTGAATACAGCGTGTCCTTCCTGGAGGGTGGCTTGGTCACAGATGCCTGTCTGTCCCTGCCGCCCTCACACACCTGCACTTGCTGTGCGCCGAAGGACAAGCCTTTGTCATGCTTCCAAGGCCACTGTGCACAGCCAGGCCACGCCATGGACACTAAGACTTATGTGATGGGCGCAGGATAAAAGTGAGGGTGGGATCCCTCCCAGAAAGACTTCACAGACAAAAGCGAGACATTAAAGAAAAACAAAGTGGATTTAATAACGCATATACACACACAGGAAAACAAAAACAATATGCAATATCACCTCACACTCTTTGGGACGGCCACTATTTAAAAAGGAAATGGACTGTGCTGGGAGCATGGCTCAGTAGCAGGACACCTGCTTAGCATGAACGAGGCTATGGAATCTCTCTTCAGTACCACAAGACCTCAAGAGCAAGCAGAAGAACAAATGTACCTGGAACTTTCTGCAAACACGAAATGGTCCATGCACTTTAGAGGGACAAGGCCTCCAACAATAAAAAAGTAAATGACTACATGATCTGATAATCCCACTTACACACACACACACACACACACACACACACACACACAAGTCCAGAAGAAACTGAAAATGAGGTCTCAAACCTTTGTTGATGTTTATAGCAACATTATTCATAATGGCAAGGGTTAGGCGCCACACAAGCATGCATCCATGATTGAATAGAGAAAGCATGGTGTGCATATGTGATCAAGTATCACTTGGCCCTAAGAGAAAAGGACGAAATCCTGCCGTATGCTGCTACAACAGAGCAGTGAGGACACTGCGCCAAACGAAAGAAACCATCACAAAAAGGCAAACACTGCCTGCTCCCACTTGACCAGGATTTGACACGGTCGGGAGCATTTCAAAGCTGGAATGTGGTTACCAGGAACCTGGGGCAGGAGGAAGAGAGTTGTGGTCAATAGAGGCACAGTTCTAGAGACGCTGTTATGCAACAATGTTCTCTCACACGCCTCTGGTACTGCCTCCTGATGCCTGAAGAGCATGTATAAACCTTCGGGGCACATAATACTCTTGAAAGCAGAGGTGTTACATCATGTCTTATGTACATGACAACCACAGGACAAAAGACATGAGAGCTGTAGACACCCTCCATGCCTGTCTCTCCTCCAGCACCCATATGGAGTGGCTTACCTAATGAATGGTACAAGCATCGCGTAAGACAGAAGTTTAACTCAAATCAGACAGGATTGTCCACAGCACCCCTTCCTACAAATACACAACGCTGCCTTTTGGATGCCTGTGCCAAATGTCTCCAGCGCTCTTCACTGTTGCTTAAGACCCCAGACTGGGTCCAGTCTTGTGCCAACAGGCACCGTACCGAGCCTCTGTCTTGTACCTCTGCAAACAAGCTCTCTGCCACACTGAGACTCTGCATCTCCCAGGGAAGAGTATCCTTGGTACAGCGGGCCATCTCTAGACTCTGCCTGGAGGGGAATCTCCTGTGTTGCTGTTTCCAGCTGCCTCCTCCTCTCTCTCTCAGTTCTGAGACATGGCTTAGAGTCCCCTCTGGAGAACATACATACTTGGTTTCTCCCCCTCTCTTTCCCAAGAATGGCAGACAAGAGTTATGGCCCTTTGGGGTTGAGTCACCCTGTGGGGTCAGGCCACCATGCCTAGAGGAATGTGGTGGCTTGGCCATCACCCATGACTTGCCGAGACAGGGATTAAAGTACTGGAATCCAAGGCCAGCGGACATGGGGGGTTGTTCGATGAGACCTACAGTAGTGTCCAGTAGGGAGGCCCTACAATGCTGGCGACAGCACCCAGCTGCTTCCTCTCTTCTAAGGATCCAGCAATGTTGGGGGCTCTTAAGTGTGCTGAGGTGAGGCTGACATCAGCCGACAATGGAGCTCCTCAGAGGGGGCTGTATCCTTGAGGAAAACCCATTTCCCCTGGGAGCAAATATCCATGAAACCCTAGCTTTGACGGATAGCTTGTGGGTCAAAGGAAACCCCTGAGACCCAGCAGTGGAAACCCCTGAGATGCAGCAGCGGAAGCCCCTGAGATGCAGCAGCGGAAGCCCCTGAGATGCAGCAGCTGGGCTCACTTTCCCTTCTTGACCTTGAACTTTTAAAACACAAATCTTCCTACAGTGTTTGAGGAAAGCCCATGGTAGAAGCTGGATCCTCTGAAGAGGCTCACCCCATAGAGCATCAGTCACCTGGGAAGGGCACAAGGGGTCTTCTGGGTGCTGGCCATGGGGATGCCTGAATGTTTGTGTGTGAAAATGTCACCAAGTGTGAGGTGTGCAGGCTTGAGTGCCTTACTTATACCTCAACAGGAGAGCGTAAAAGAGGAATGAGGAAATGACTAGAAACCAAGCCTCTCTCATAGAGGTTCTTTTTCTGTTGTATTTATTTGCCTGCTGTCTCCGTGTGTGTGTGTGTGTGTGTGTGTGTGTGTGTGTGTGTGTGTGTGTGTGTGCACTTCGGAGGTTAACTTGTGGGAGTCAGTTCTCTCCCTGCGCTGTGGCTGTCCCAGGAATTGAACACACGGTAGGATTGCTTTCACGAGACGTCATAGAAAAACCAACAGCAATGTATGCAAGGCAGCGGCTGCCTCTGGGATTTCGAGGGGTTGACTAGATAAAGATACAGGGAACTTCCTGGGATGTTCCGACACGTGCAATTGCCAAAACCCAAGCTAAAACCTCAAGATTTGTGCATTTTATGTAAATTATACCTTTACCTGAAAGCACACACAAAAAAATACACAAAAAGTAGTAAATGAAATTACAAACTTCTTTCTACCTATATCCCCCTCCCCAACTCTCTCTCCTAATGCCTCCTGGGATTGATCAGGGCTCATGCATGATAGAAAAGCACTCTACCACTGAGCTACGCCCTCAGCCCAGCTTGTCTAAAGAAAACACAAAGACAAGTCCCTGGCTTGTCAGCCTTTGACTGCCACCTGAGAGGTTCACACGTGAGAATCACACAGAGTTACTTTAAAATGTCATAAAAGCATCTCACCGCGTCTTAAGCAACTTTACAGTTTTGTGCTGGGCCCCATGCACGGCTGTCCTCTGCTGCATGCAGCTGCAGATGGACACACCTCAAAGATGCAACGCCAACAGACAACCTCAGAGCTGTGCTCCGGTTTCTGTGCTAGCCGGCTTGCCTATGCGGTGAGTCCCTCATTCTTAGGGTGCCACCCTGTCCCAAGTCACCATCTCCCCAGAGGTCTTACCAGAACACGGCCATCTGCTTTGGGCTGCCTGGCCAGGCTAACCCCCATCCACTCATCATCTCGGTCTTCCCTGCAGGTCTTCCCACAGGGCGCACCCCTGTTCTTCCCTGGAGGGAGAAGAGAGGCCAGAGTTGGGTTGAAGAACTGTGCAGGTGACTGCTTTTCCAACAATGGTCCTGGGGGCTCAAGTTTTTGTAACTTGAAAAAAAAGTCAACTCTATATAAACTTGTGATACAATGTTGCTGCTTAATTCAGAGCCCACCCTTTTTTTTTCCACAGCAAAATTACCATGAAGAAAAATGTGTCTCATGGATGTCTAAGAAGTCATTGTCACTAACATTTCACTGAGCAGATCACACATGGACAAGGCCCCTCTTCTGAGAAAGTAAGACAGGACACCTCTTTGGGGTTTTGTTGTTGTTGTTGCTTTGTTGTGTATGTTTACAATTTTGCATGTGTGTGTGCACATGTTAGGGATGTGCATTTGCGTGTGTGTATGTGTGTACACTGGGGGTTTGTATTCATGTGTGTGCTTATATATGTTTGTGTATGTGCATACATATTGGGGGAGTGCATTCATGTTTTTGTGTGTGTGCGTGCACATATTAGAGGTGTGTGTTCACATATGGGGGTTTATATGATTATATGTGTGCATGTATGTTGGGGTGTACATTCAAGTGTGTTCAGGTATGTCGAGTCCACAGGTTGGTGCCAGGAATTTCCCTCAATTGCTCTCCACTTTATGCTTTGAGGCAGAGTCTCTCACTGAACCTGGAGCTCACAGGAGCAGCTACATTGGCTGGCCAGCAATCCCAAGGCATCCTCGCCTCCACCTCCTCAATGCCGGGATTGCAGGCTCATGTGACCTCATCCAGCTCTTTACGAGGGTTCTGAGGGATGAACTCAGACAGACCTCATGCTCTCACAACAAAGACTTACCAACCGAGTCATCTCCACAGCCCTCTGTACGAAACGTGATGAGGAAAAAGTCTCGGTGAAAGGGTTTTGGGAAAGCGAGGGCTGGGAGTGGTGTGAGCCACCTGCCTCTTCTTTATTGAGCTCGGTTTTCTGTGCTCCCATCTCAGTCTTCTCAAGGCATTGCTTGGGCAAGCCATTCCCAGTATGTACAGCTGGACCAGAACCAGTCCATCTGGTCTACCAATGACGCTGCCATTGCTTTGCTAGGAGACTTCACTTCCTGGACCTCCCCAGCTGTCACCTTCTATACACAGAAAGGTCCCCAAGGAGGCCTCTTCTAACTTTCAATAGAGAGTTGATCCTAACACACACCTCCCCTCTGGATTTCTCTTACTCTATTGTTTTTTAATGTCTGTTTTGGCCACTGGTTGTCAAGACCTAGGGTGACAGATTCCTTGTTTCCCTTGTTCATTGGCATACTCCAGTGCCTAATAACTTAATAACTAACAGGCTCTCAATTTTACTGAGAGACAGCGGGAAGGCAGGTGAATGATGAGTCCATCCTAAGTACAAAAAGAGCACAGCACGAAAGTGTCACGCCCATTTCTATGCTGGTAATCGTGTCCACCCACCTCGAGCCATGTCCAGTTCGGTGCATCTCCGGTCAGGGTTGGTGTGGATGCGGCACTTAAACACAGCTCCGGGGGACTTCACTGAAGCGCTATATTTAGAATCTGCCTTCGGTGCACCCACAAGGACCCTGCACATCAAAAAGAAAAAGCATGCTGTCACAACCAGTGCTGGGGGAGAAGAGGCAGGTGAACAATGTGAGTATGTTATCAGGACAGGAAGCCACGCTAATCCACTGTGTGTGCACACAGACACAACACACACACCACTTCAGTAAAACCACCAATTTTAACACACACACACACACACACACACACACACCAGTAGAAAAATGAGTCAAAGAGTTTGGTGTTTGGGCTACTTTTATGTTAACTTGACACAAGCTACAGTCATCAGAGAGGAAGGAGCCTCAATGGAGAAAAGGCCTCCATAAGATTGGGCTGTAGGCAGGTCTATAGGTTTTCTATTTCTATAGTTGGTGATTGAGGAGGAAGGGCCTAGCCAATTGTGGGTGGTGCCATTCCTGGGCTTGTGGTCCTGGGTTCTGTAAGGAAGCAGGCTGAGCAAGTCATGAGTGACAAGCCAGTAAGTCACAGGCTTCCATAGCCTCAGCCTCAGCTTCCGTCTCCAGGCTCCTGCCGTGACTTCCTTCAGAGACAGACTAAGATTTGGAAGTATTAGCCATGCAAACCCCTCCCTCACCAAGTTGGTTTTGATCATGGCGTTTCGGTCACAGCAACAGAAACCCTGACTAAGACAATCAGTAGGTGTATGAATAGATGCTCATCTTTACTAGTTACCGGTTACTAGAGGGATAGGGTAGCATAGGGTAGGGTAGCATAGGGTAGGGTAGTGTAGTGTAGAGTAGGGTAGTGTAGAGTAGGGTAGTGTAGGGTAGGGTAGGATAGGGTAGTGTAGGGTGGGGTAGAGTAGGGTAGGATAAGGTAGAGTAGGGCAGTGTAGGGTAGAGTAGGGTAACATAGGGTAGGGTAGAGTAGGGTAGGGAAATCAGTCTGGGTCTGCTGGGTGCAAAATCCAAATAGGGATATAACATTAAGTTCACTTCAAGGTATTACAAAAATAAGTCTATCCTAGAGTTGAAGTGTGTGTGTGCATTTGTGTGTATGTGCATTTGCATGTGTGTGGCAGAGAGAGAGAGAGAGAGAGAGAGAGAGAGAGAGAGAGAGAGAGAGAGAGAGAGAGAGAGAGAGAGGTCACTCCTGGTTGTCATTCCTTGGGTTCTATCCATCCTCTGTTTGGAAACAGGCTCTCTTGGCCTGGCACTCACAAATCCAGTGCGCCCCAAGGATGCACCGGTCTCCACCGGTCCAGGGTGGGGATTGTAAGCAGGACCCAGCATACCTGACTTCAAGTGGGTACTGAGGATTGAACTTGGACCCTCATGCTTGCATAGCAAGCTCCTTGCCAACTGGCCTGTCTCTCCAGCTCTAGAATATTATGCATAATTTCAGGAAGGTAGCACCCCAAAGTTCTTCAGCACAAAAGACTAAATAACAACAGTTAGACATAACGCGTCCTGAGTTGAGCAGTGGGCCACATGGAAGAGGCCTTGCACGAGGACACTCGGATAACATCTGAATTGCTGCTCGAAGAGCTGCAGGTGCCAAGCCCCTGCTCAGTGAGGACCCGAGATGTCCCTTGTCTTTAGCAGTCAGGACACAGGAGAGGCTGAGCATCCCAGGACATTAGACACAGCAGGTCTTGGGGCAGACTGCACCACTATCAGACTTCTCTGCTAAGCAGAGGCTAGTAGTCTCCCTTGGGTAAAGAAAGCTGGCCCTGGGTCCCCTGCTCTGTTTCAGGAGCCACAGGAGCCACCCACTTTGGGGTACCATTCTTTCATCCAGTCACCTCTCCACCACTCAGATCTCATGATGACTGGCATCTTCCCCACCAATGCTCTAGTGAGGCAGAGAGGCTGGCAAACAAGGCTGCCTGTCACATCGCGCAACCGATGTCTAAAACCCTCAGCAGACTTCTTCAGCAAAGGCTCACAGACACTGTCACCAATTGGGCTCAGAAGCCTGGTGTCAGGCATCATGGGAAGGCATGAAGGTTAATTCCCACCCAAGAACCTGGCAGAGCCTTGGGAACTCCAGAGGCACCCCTGTCCCTCCAAGGAAGTATGTCCTCCCAGATTAACCCTGGGAGGTATACATCTGCTTCTGGAAGGCTATCTTGCTGGTGTGTGGAGGAGCTGAACCTCCAACACTGAGGGCCCCCCCCAGCAGCCTTGCCATGCACCCCTGCAGAATCTTGGCCGGGACACTCACATTCCTCCAGCACCGCCATGATGCTCCTCAAATGCAGCGGCATTCCCCAGCGGAAACCCCGTGTCCATGAGGACTAATGGTGTCTTTTCCCAAGCAGGCCAGACTCACTGCCTGGCTCAGCCACACAAGGGAGGTTTGGCCAGCCCTTGGATGCTCTAACTCGAATCCATGATGACACACTGACTCAAATCAGACAAGAAAGCCACACTGAGGGGTAGTTCCCCACACCCCCCTTCCCTCTGGGCTGAGCTTGAGCCACTGGAGTAAGTCAGAGTCTGCCTTAGAATGCCATTGTTTTCACAGGTGAAAAGAATTATCAGACTGACAACTGAAGATGGCTATAACATCCACGGCTTGCCATGTCAAGCCCTAGGGGCTAGGGAGTATAAATGCAAAAGCCTGGCGCTGGGTCTGAAGCCTCCCACAGACTCAAGTCTCCCATCAGCCCAGCACACAACTACTGTTGGTAACTCATTTTATAATGGGGAGCAGGGTGTCGCTCAGCGGTAGAGAGTTGTCCGAGGCCCCGGACTCCATCTCCAGCACCACACACCACAAATAAAACAAGAAGTCGCCATCGCATCCATCTGTCCTCAAGACTTATATCCTTGCACCCTAGACTAGTTCAGTCCTGGCCTCTCATCAAAGAAACTTTGGCTTGCCCTGGGTGACAGATACAAGCACCCACAACCGGTCAGAGTGCAGGCAGCGAGTGACATCTTTGTCACACCCCTACTCTCCAGGGCTCAGGGAACATCAATGAAGAGGGCTGGCAAGAATATAAGAGCAAGGTTGGTGGCAGGGAGCGGGGAGCTGCTGGGAGACAACGGAACCACTGCACCCCAACCTCTGCACTCATAGAGCCGGTGACTGCCTGCACAAGGTCTGTGTGAGATCAAGCCAGTCAGAATTCCAGCATGGGTGGGGAGGGGGAGGGGTTCCTAGCTGAGAAGCTATTGCCTGGGGAGGCCTGCTGAGGAGTAGACAGAGAAACAGTTTTCCTCAAGGATGTGCTCCCTGAGCACTGAGAAGCACTGGACTCGGTGGGTTTTTTTTTTCTCTTTAAGAAGAAAAGGGATTGGGCATTGTGGCACATGCCTTTAATCCAAACACTGGGGAGACAAAGGTGAGCATGTCTCTGTGAGTTCAGAGTCATTCTGGTCTGCACAGTGAATTTCAGGACCACCAGAGCTACGTAGAGATATCCTGCCTCAAAATGAATGAATGAGTTGATTAACTAATTTAATAAAAACCTTAAAAGAGAGGAAAAGGGAATGAAACTGACGGAGAGGGGATGTGGGAAGGACATGGGGAGCAGGGCTGTGGAGCGGGAGATGGGTATGCTCAAATATGCTCTAAGGAAGCACTCTTGGAAAATGATTAACTTTGAAGTCACAGGAAACAAAGAAGGGGGAGAAACCCATCACCCACAGGAGTTGAAAGGAGGCTGCAGGCGGCAGCAGGCTGTGGCTCCACCGTGCCCCCAACATTGTCACCACAACCCTGGGACTGCCAGCTGGCACCATGACTTCCAGTTCGGACACATCCCCAGGTCAGCCAGGCAGGGATGAGCCTGGAGAGCAGAATGTCCAGGTACCTCGCTTCTTCCATCCTAGAGCCGAGACTTGGGACACAGTGCTTGCCAGACTAAAGCAGAGGAGGGCCTTGCTGGATCCTAAGCTTTCCCAAGCCCAAAGCGCTCGGTGGTTCTAACAACAGCTGCCGATTCGAGCCTGCTGGCATCCCTCTGGCCCGTACTTCTAACCGGCAGGCCCGAGAAGAGGGGTTTTCTCAGATCCTGAGACGTGCGCTGAAGAGACACGTGTGTGTCGGTACCCACGCGCCTGACTCGCACAGGGTGGCACATGGGAGGACGCCTCTGTGTTTACAGAATACTGTGGCTTCCTTGGCAGCCTCATGCTGCTCTTTACCTAGGCCACAGTCCAGCAAGACGCCTGCAGCAGGCCAGCTCTGGAGTGTGGTCTGTCTGAAGCTCATTCAGCTGGCTGCTGGCCAAGCTGATTCTGAAAGACAGAGATTACGAGGGCCCAGAGTTCAGGATGCGATGCTGACGGGATGCTACCCGCTTTTTCTTTCTTTGTCCTCTGGGTTACAAATTCCAGCTACTTCAAACATCCTCACATCTTCCCTGGTACCCTAGGGAAGACCACGCCTTTCCTCTGTGCAGGCACCCTGTCAAAGACCTTTATGTCCCCAGACACAACCTCCCATCAAATAAGCCATCAAGCTGTTTCCCATCTCCGCTTACTCCTTCAAGTCTGACCCTATGGGAGCACCTATAGGAGGACTGCTAACATTATCCCCATTTCACAGATGGAGAAGCAGATGACCGAGTCTGCCCCTGAAACTTGCCCCAGACCCTAACTGCCTCTGATGCCTCATGTGTCCCACAGAAGCATGTCACCCAAGCTCCCTCCTGCTCAGACCGTGCCAGCCAGGAAGGAGGAAAAGAAGCCTGCAGATGCCCAGCGCCTTCTGCGGCCAACTGCTCATGTGCGTGACCATACCCAAGGAAGCCCAAGGAGGCTGGCTCTGTGGACACTCTGAGGTTAGAACTTGGCTCTTGAGCCTGTCACCTCAAGACTGGGGTATGGTCCATAAAGAAAGCCGTTCTGTTCCCCTCAGGTTCACAGAATGGAAGAGGTGAATTCCAGCCACCGGCTTAGGTTTCTCAAACATTGAAATTGCCAGCATGGTGCTAACCAAAGGTCCACCTCCCCAGTAAGTAGCTCATAAACCTCTTGGGAAACATACACCCATCTGTTTATCCACCCGCAACAGCTAGGATTACATGGACCTGGTTCCTGATGAAGGC